CTGAATTGAATTTTTTAACACTGTATCCACTGTATCACTTTTAATACTAAGAAAATTAGGATCATTTTACATGTATTTGCAATTCCCATTGACACCTTTACATTCTAGTTCTGTTTTAAAGTTGTCTAAATATTTCTGAACAGGCTACATGCCAATAGCTGGAATTAGGGATTTTGAGTCTTTGAGTTACAATAGTTAGTTAAAAAGTTAGCTAGGCATTAGCAAAAGCATGCTAACGCAAACACTAATGCTAACATTAGGATGCTACAACCATAGGTTACTGTGTCAAAGCTGTTGCATCTCACGTTGTCGCTGGGAAATTTAAATGTATTAACAGTCTCCCATATTACAATAGTTTCCCATATTATTGTATAATAAAATCATATTTGAAAAAAGATTTATCTGGCTGTCCAAACATAACTATTGCTAGCATTACAGGTCAAAATCTGATGGCCTTAGTGTAGTTGTAATTGGTTCACAGGTGTTTATTTTAGATTTCTTCTGCCCAAGTCTTAAAATATAATGGACAGAGCTTTACTGGGTTAGTCGGACGGCTTGTCGTAAAAGTTCCAAAATGTTCATATCCAGAAGTTGACAGGTATGTATGTGCTATTACTAAGATCATGGTAACTTAAACACTTTAACATTAGCTTCCCAGAGCTAACATTAACATGCTACTCGAACATAATGGTGTGTGTGCTAATGCTAGCATTACCATGCTAGTTATCTTCATTGACCTTATCACTTTATCAAATGACACACATTTCGAGAGAGCATATTTAAAGGACTATTCTAATCCCCCTATAAAAATGGCTGGCTTAGTTAGTGAACGAGTGAACAATCTGAACACAGCCTGAGGAATCGGTAACTGTCAAATTTTTTTTACAAGTAGTAATTCACAGTTTTAGTAAAAACAATTTTGAGGCATTTAATTCGAATAAAAAAACAGGACTGTACAAGATGTTTCAAAACAACACACATTACTTGCGAGTCTACATTTTTCACCTCACGCTGCTTTACTCTTTTTTTTGTTTGTTTTTGCCACATTTTTTTTCTTAAAATATATATTTGATATCTGCAAATTTATTTCACAGTAATATACAATCTAAGTGCCTTTGGGAGTAAAGGGGACTTGTGTGCTGATGGTTTTAGAAATCCAGTTTGGTTGACCAGGCTAACGGTGATAAAATATGGTAAATGAGGAGGTTGGGGGGTAACTGCTAAAAGGGGAAAGGAAGTAAAGGAAATATGCATATCTTTGGTAAAAGGAATGCTCCCATAATGCCACAATACAGACTGACCAGCCAATAAGGCAATTTATAAAAATGAATAATTGAATTTTCCCTCAAAGGAAATGTCCAAGTCCAACTGGAGTTTCATCGATCCCTCCTTTATCTGTTATTTTAATTTTGAGGGATCATTGGGAGGTAGGAGAGAGTATAGGAAGGGTCTACAGGTGACACAGTGAATTTGATGGTGATATCTGAAAGAAACTTGACTATCTGGCTGTGAGAAATTCTCCTTCACAGCTGGAAACACACCATACTCAGGGCAAAGTTCCTTTAGACCATGGATGTCGGATCATCCCCATGATATTGATGTTTTCACGCAGTGCTAAATAAACCTCACACAGATCAATGCCTTGTTTTTCTGTCCCACAAAGTGTCAGTGTGAGGTCTGGCTGTCCATTTTCGGCAGATAACCAAGATGTACACAAGCTGCTCAGGTTTGTTCCTAATCCCGCCTCTTGTTCCGTCCACCTCTTCCACCACCAGATCCCTTTTTGCCACCGTCGTTTTTAGTCTCTGCTCTGTCGTTTACGTCGGGCTTGACTTCTTCCACATACTCAGTCTCTTTGCTCTCTCCGTTGGCCTGACCACTGGAGTGGCTGCTGGGCAGCGCTAAGTAGGGATGCTGTGGGAGAGTGGAGGAAGGGGACATGGAGTTGTTGACCAGTCCCTCCACTTGAGCTCCTGCTGCCCCATTGGACAGGGCTCTGTACTTGAGGCGGAGCTTGTGGGGAAGGGCAGTGGCTTTGACCTCGGCTTGGTATTCGCCGTGCAAACCACCAGCTCCCTCTGCCTTCTGGTGGTAGCTGCTGATGTCTGAAGAAGATGATGAAGGGGATTCATCATCAGTGGAGCCCTCTTTATCAGAGCTACGAGGGTCTCCGTCACTTGATGAGGTGTCTTTAGCAGAGGAGATCTCCTGATAGAAAGCATCAGGTCTGGGACCTCCTTCATAGGTGAGCACAGGGGGCTCTTCATCCAGTGTGCTGAGGTAGCCATTATGCTGCATGAAAGACTTGCTCTCCTCACTGCTAATAAGCTCAGGGGCGAAGGAGTTCTGTTGAACTCTCTCTTTGTGCTGAAGACTGTTCTCCTGAGCCACGTAGTTGTATGAGGGAAAGTTATCATGTGGCAGTGGGGCACTGTGATTGTTGTACCTTTGTTGGAACTTCTCTGAGGACTCTGTGTGATCATCAATGTATTCATACTGAGGCGAATCCATTGTCTTTGTCCTCTCTAGCTTCTCGGCAACCTCAGAGATGGTTACTGAGCAGTCAGAGTACTCTGAGGGTAAGCTGTGCTGGATGTGCTGCGATGGTCTGCTCTGATGGGACTGCTGGTCCTCAACCTTCTGGTTCTCCATGGGGTAACAGCCACTGCTGGAACGGTACAAGATGACGCTCCTCTGGGCAGAGGTGGCCTGAGGAGGGGGACTGGTTGTCTCCATGTGGCATTGTTGTTGTTCCTGTTGATGATGCTGGTAGTCTCTGGCAATGTCTGCTACTGTGGTGTTTTGCTGGTGAGGGGTAACCAAAGTGGTGTTACCACAGTAAGCTCCATTTGGGATCCCATTGGTCATTCCGTTGGGTATCATGTCATTTTCCATTCCAACCACCTCCATGCCTAAAGGCTCCTTTTTTATGTTGTAGCCGATTGGGTCAGGGCTATCTCTGGAGGATCCATCAGACATATCAGACACAGAGCCCAGAGGGGAGTACTTGTGGAGCATGCTGTGACGTTCACTCCGACTGCACTGTTCAGCTTCAGATGAGTCAGAATTCAGCATTACCTGGGACGCACTAGAATACCCGCTGCTCGAGTGGTAGGCATTACTGTTAGGGGTGCAGTTGGTGCTGCTCCCGTTGCTACCTGGGTTTCCATCGGCGGCACTGGTGGAGATCTGCTGACTTTTCTCCATGTAGGATGATGCACTGATGAGACCAAAGCGCAGTTTGAGCTGAAGGAGTTCAGTCTTCAGACGAACATTTTCCTCATTAAGCGCCATGACGCGGTTTTCCAGCACCATATCGTTGAGGCGACGCTTCTCCCTTGAACGCTTGGCCGCCTCATTGTTCTTCCTCCGCTTTTCCCAATACGAGGCATCTTTTTTCTCATCAGAAATGAACTCTCGCTTGCGACGTGAGGTCATGGTTGGTTTAGAGCCTTTGGGCTGGCGGCTGACCCGCGATGAGCCATCAGGATCAGGGGAAGGTAGACTGCCATTGTAGGGCGAAAATGCCTCGACTTCCATAGTGCTTTTGTTAGTGTTGGTCGTGATATGTAGAGTGAGACTTTCCATGTTTTCCCAACTGGGGGCCACAGTATGACCCAATAAAGGGCAAAGGGGGACTTCAGATCCTTAAGCTATTTGAGCCTTCTACTTTGTTGGTATGGTTTTTAACCTATGTGGCTGGATCTGCGAAAAATTCTGGATGAGGTATTTGTGCTTGTTGAAATGACTGCCTCATTGATTTCTCTTTCTTATCCTCCCAAAGGTCAAGACTTTCAAGTGTCTAAATTAGCCAAAAATATTAAAAAGAGGTGAAACTCTACAAAAACTTCAGACATTGAAGTAGTGTACTGAAAAATACAAAAATAAATAACAGGAAAAAAGGTTGAAAGTTGAGTAGAGGGATTTTCAAGCTGATTCTTCAAACTTTTGAGTCAATCTTCATCAGAGAAGTAGAGCCTTTCTGGATACCTCTTGGATTCTTGCTGAGTCTTATGCAGGATGTAGGTCAATACGTCTTCTCCAGGGCTCTTTGAGGCATTGGCCTTTAACCGGGTTACTGAGGCAGCATGAAAGAGAAGAAGGGAACAAGAGACAAAAAATAGTTAGTTGAACAGAAGAAGAAAACAGTTTTTGACATTTATTTGGAAAAAGCAAGTCTATGTTTTTATGGTGACGTGGAGCTGCCTGTTGTCCTTCACTTGGTACAGAATGTAGTTGTTTATAGCTAATCCTTTGGTAGATAAAGATGATAAGCGCCACACAGAAAAGCAGAGATGGCTGCTTTTAAACATATGCAAACAGAGCTGCATCTGCAGAACTCTGTTACATGACTTGGAGTGAAATCAGCTGACCTAGTGCAAGCTCTGCAGAGGCAACCTAGTAAAGAGCTGAGGGAGGAGAGACTGGATTTTTGTACAGTTGACACTTTATTATGGTGCATGAAGAAAGTAACAGTTTGTGCCATTTCTGATTGTGTGGCCTGTGGGCTCTATCACAACAACATATAAGTTTCTCTGATAGCCATTGCAGTTCCTAAAATTACACAACAGCAAACTGAGCTTCCTTGTGTCATCTCAACATTGCAGCTAAACAGGAAGCCTTTCCCACTCGTCAAGTTTCACCATAAAGTTAAAAACAATGCACCACAAACGGATGTTGACAGCGAGCCTGGATTATGTAACAGCTAGATGGGCTCTGGTTCCTATGGTGCTCTCGCTGTACGATGTTTTACAGTTCATAAGCAGCAATTAATTACACATCACAGCACTGAGCCCTGCAGTGCCTTCTGAACATGAAGACATCCTATTATGACAGAGAGTGCATGTAATCTAGGTCATTGTGTTTCTGATAACAAAGATGGCTTTGCTTTGTTGCCACACTGGATTTGAATGTGAGGTTCAATTACATGTTTTGCAGCAGAATTGCTTCAGTCACGAAAGTCTCTTAAAACATAGTTTAACAAGAATGTGATTTTACCAGTTGGGAGTTGAATTGAGTCCTATTTTTAGCTTTAGATGACACAAATAGAAAGAGAAACAACGTTAGAGATGACCTCTTTAAAAGGTACTTATGAACTGTAATGTTAAATTTACAAACAATGTTATCACTGTTTTATCTACATGCTTTCAGAGGAACTTAGGAAAAATCAGTCTTTCAGATACTAGAATCAGCTGAGTTTTCCTGAACAAAGTTTGTTATGAAAAAATAAATAAATTTTTACATTTTTATTCCATTTCAATGGCTGCATAGAATGTATGAATGAGAAAAGCTATATAGCTTAAACGCAATGCTTTGCAGCAGTTTTTTAAAAGTTTAATAAGTAAAAAAAAATCTAGTTAGGAAGACATACTTTGGTGCATCAGTGAAATATTTTATGTTTTTTAAGGTTGAATTCAAAAATACTTTCTGTAAAACAAACATATGTTGCAAAGTAAGAAAAACAGAAAAACAATTACTCAGTACCGAGGAAATTGGGCATATTCACAGTTAATCACAAAGTAGGTCATGCAGTCTGTTTCAGTTTCAGTTTCAAGCATCCAGCATAATGATGTGAGGATATTTTCTCATGGTCAAGCATGAGATTAGGCATGCACTGCCTCAGTTCTGTATCAGAGATACAGATATGCTATACTGTTCATTGGATTCAGTAGCTGTGGTTCTCAAACCTGCAGCAGCCTGGATCAGCTGGTGGTCTCATTTTTCATAATGAAATGCTAAATGCCTAATAAGCAGATGCTAGAATTGATTCTCTCTGACACTGGTTAACTTCTTTTGGACAACTACGTAATCAAACATTCAGTAATTATTTCACTAATAAACTGATGAATATTGATGGATATTCCACACATACCAGGGTTTCAATATAATGTGGAATTGAATCACCTCTACTTAATCAGCATAATCAAACTATCGGTTAACTTCTAACAAATCTGTATAACTAGTCTGTATAATTTGATAGAATGTGTGTGTAAAGTCCCTTGAGTTGACATATTCATTGAATCGGCTCTACAAAAATGAATTGAATAAAACTAAATGTAGTTTGTTTCAAATCAAGAACACCAATATTTAGGGTTTGGATTAAGAAACGTCTCTCTGCATAAAGCTCATTGCAGTCTATCCAGACATGACCGCAGACTGTATACAGGGCTGAACAAAAACAATCTCAAAACATTCTTCCTTTTGCTACGCCTGAATGAAAACCAGGAAAAAACGTCATTGTTATCCTAGAGCTGAATGTGGCAATCGCCATACTGGTAAAAATTAACCCACATTTTGCTGACTGTCTTACATATTTTCTATTATTGAATCTGCAACAAGCTGTGAGCTAAAGCATCTTAAGCCAGGCATACGCTGTATGATTTTTTTGTCCTTTTCGGGATGACTCTCCAGTCGTGCAAGAATTTTTCAACGGGCCGAGTTTCAGCATCGTTGCGCGTCATGTAGTATACAGGGGGTAACGAGGGGCGATAAGCCTCTCAAGACCACCTCCCGATCAGGAATCGCAAGGTCGGGATCAAATCAAACAGGTTTGAAATTCCATCGTAAGGTCGCATCAGAGCTTCGGAACGCAGTGTGAGAACATGCATCATGGGAGAGAACTTTTAAACCCAGTAGTTTTCTCGTACAGTTTGTGCTGTAGCTACGTGCAACGGTTGAAAATATCGTGCAGTGTATTCACGCTTTAGTCACTAATAAATCTACATTAGATAAGGTCATTAAGTGTAGTGAAGGTCTGTCCTACATGCCAAGCTTATTATTAGCATGGAAACAAATATATGTAAGGTACTTTGAATATATTTTACTACATATTGCACGCAAACCGGACTTTCTGTTCACAACATTGCAGGTGTTTTATAGCGATGATTTTATAGATTTCGTAGGCTTTCAACAAAACCTAGTTGGTGGAACAAAACTGGCTTAAATGTATCATTTCCCCTCAATCAGTACTGAAGATCTAACAGCACAGAGGTATTTCAGTGGAACTCAACTTATCCAGGCTTCCTCTGCTTCCACCAGACTTTGCAACCCTGTTACATAACCCCTAACTTACCAAGAAAACATATGAAGCTTAAGCTCTGGACAAAAAGATGTTTATTTCCCTTCTTATGACTCAGATGTGTCCTTTATAGCTTCTGCATGCAACACAAAGAGATGTGAACTCAATCGCACAAAAACGATGTGGAAAAATGTAGGCTAAAAGTCTCCGCCCTCTCCGACGTTGGATAATTTTCATCAAGAGCGACAAAGAGAGAGGCAGCGCTCAAACAAAGGCAGGCGAGAAGAAAGCACGCATGCACACGTCTCTGCGCTGTCCCACTGACCTAGAAACAACGCAAAGCAGTAAACACTCCTCCTGTCTTTGACGGTGTGTGCCTCTAAATAGGTCAGTGGGACTGCAAGGGAGGGGAGAAGCAGGAGAGCATTAGAGGGTACGCTAAAAATAGTGACAGAGGTAAGGGAGGGGGGATCTGGTGACAGAAGGAATTCAGTTAGTGGACATGAGAGGAATTTTACAGACCCGACTGCAGTAAGATGTAACAAGGTGATCTCTAATATGTAATGTTCAGCGACATAAGGTGGATGGTGTTTCTTTATGCAACACTAACAACCCAATCACTGGAGAGAGCTTGTTACACCTTTACCCCATTACGTTACACCAGAAATCAGTGGCAGATGGGAGAATTATAACCAGAGATAGCGCAACAGCATTGACGTCATGGCACACACCCATCTCTGCAGCCAAATTCACTTCCAGGCTCCATCTCAGGACTGCTCTGGGAGGGGCTGGCGTCGTGGCTCATCGCCTACGTGCTCTGAATTTTCTCCTGGCGAGGAGCAAAGCTTGTGTAACATATTCATATTACAAAGCAGCAGATGCTACAGGTTTACAGGCTGAACTCAGATACCGCTGTAGAGGCGAGAGATAAGAGCTGGGGCATGGCGCATTTTGTAAATTGCTCTTTGTGTGCTTAAAAAGAATGAGTCAGTTTGAGCTGCTTTCTGTCTGCCCCCCCACCACCACTAAGGTACTTCACAGCCACTTGCCACTCTGTGGAGGAATTCTCCACCTTTGACCCTCTGCGAGGCAAGCATGGGTAAAACGGCACAATGTCCTCCTCCCCCTCCTCCATGCTTAAAACGATCCAACACCACACACGTGGAGGAGGCCCCAACTAGGAGCCTCCATTTTTTTTTGTGTTGTTGTTTTTTTGTTCCCCCCACTGCTTTTGCGTCAAACAAAACTTGGAGACAAGAATTCCCTGGCAGGGCCTAAGCTGGATATGACAATGTGCCATTCAACAGCCTGTGATTAGTAACTGGAAAGAGATGGGGGCAGGATTTTAAACCATTTCTCCATCAGTTCAACTGGATTTCAAAAGAAGACATGGAAGCCGGGTTGCAACAGCAACAAAATCTCTAATCTTTTGTAATCCAGAGCCTCAGCCAAACCAAAAAAAAAAAAAAAAGTAGTCCACCACTTGCCCTGCAAACCTTGCGTCTCTCCTCCTCACCCAGATCCAGGTCTGACCTACATTCAGAGAGCTGGCTGGGACAGAGTGAGCAACGCTCCCACTATGTAACCAGACCGACTGGCAGCAGCCGGATTCACCAGAGCTGTGCCTGCCCTCACCAGACAGGAGTTTCCAATGTATTGCATCACAAGTCTGGAGGCTCCACTAACTTTATGACAAACCCAAACCCAGACGCCACCAAAAGGTCTGCTGCAAAACTCTGTCAGATAAGAAAAAAGCTGCACCTGGTTTGCCCTGTTGCTATATGTTTTCTGTAGAGGAACAGAGGCAATCGGGTTAAAAATAGCAGCAGCAGACAGTGAGCAGCTGTGTTACATCACTGCTGAAAGCATTTTCTAAAAACACATCTCCCACTGTGAACATTTATCCCGTCTCTGCTTTGGAAATTAAGAAATGTCATATGCAGGAATCAACCGGGTTCCTAAAGTTCTTCTGTGCTTTTACAAGCAACAATATTAAAACTTTATGGAAGTTTTATAAAAACACAGGACATCTGAACACAAAACAATTATCTACTGGGATTTTATAATGTTGCTTATCAACAAGCAATAAAAAAAAACTTTCCTAGACAACCAGACAAAATCCATTTGACTAGTATTTTACTGAAAATAACTGTTAATGACTTATTAAGCATCTTTTCTAAAATGATGAATAACGTGATCTAATTATTCATTCTGATATTTGATGTGTTTGTCTTTTTATGTCGTTTTATTAGTCAACCAAGGATGATAAGTGAAGTCAACCTCAGGTTGTGATGATATGATGTGGCAAATCAAAAAAGGATATTACAGGTATTATAAATAGGTTTCAAGAAGTAAATGCAGAGAAATAAGTAAAAATAAGAGGAAGGTCTAGAAATTACAATGTTTCAACATTTGTCAACCCTATAAAGAATAATAAATGATAGAAATCATCTCATACTTTTTAAGACTGCATAGAAACACTGAATCAATGAGTCTATGTTCCAGGGGCGAGCTGGGACTTATTGCTTTAGCCTGCAGTGGGCTGCTGGTTATGTCATACCCTCCCGAAAAACTCTAATAAACTACTACCTGTAACACTAACTGATTAACCCACAGAAATGAGCAAAACTAAAGCTCTACTGCTAATGACCAGTATACCTTTTTTAGCTAAATAAACACTGCTCTCGCATCCAATTTTGACATTTACTTATTCATATTTGGTTACTTTAACACAGTTATTTTATTTTCAAACCCTGCTAATATGAAACAATTGTGTTAAAGTAACTAAATATGATTAAATAAATGCCAAAAGCAGTTGCATTATTTTTTTTCTGTGTATTTTAAAAGAATGACAATTTTCATTGTGAGGCTGTTCTCACTACATAAGGTATTTCCAAAGGGAAATGGGAAGATATGAAAGTGATTAAAGCTTTTTTTCTTTTATTTCTTCCATTATCCTACTTCCAGTCTGCATGATAAAAAAAAGCTTTTACACTTTTCTATTATTGGCGATATTTTCGGTTGGAAAAACACAGACGGTCAAAACACAGAAATTAAACCAGAGCAACCCATTCTTATTTAGGTAACCATGTAATGAAACGAGTTAGCAAGCTACAAATTTATTAGTGTTGACTAATTAAAACCTGTTCTATAAGTAATAGATTTATTTCAAACATTTAGAATATTTATTTTAGCCAGATATTTGTTTCTTTTTTGTAGTACTTTGAGGTCCTTTTGATGAAAAGTGCAGTATAAATCAAATGTATTATTATTATTTTGTTTATTAGAATAGTTATAAATTTATTTTAGACTGAATCACTTTAGAACTGCTATGAAATGACTAAGTTAACTATATTATTGTTAAGGTTCATGCAACAGAATAAAGGCAATTCAAATTTAGATTTTGGTAAAGCTTTTTTTTACACTAAACACAAATATCTTTCAATGTTTTATCATTTATAATACCTTTTTTCTTGTCATATATGACCATTTAGGCTATTCTATTGTTATATACATGCCCACTAAACGCCTATTGCAGATTAATTTAAAATGATATAAAAAAAAAAAGCTAAATTATTCTGGCTAGTTTGGCTTTAACCTGAAGGTGTTCCACATAAACATATATTAATGGAATCAAACCCAAACAAGCTCGATGAGCTTAGATGAATTAAGCAAATAAGTGAATAACTTAATGGAGATGGTATAAAGCGCGTGGAAAGCAGCATGCCACGTGTGGGACTGATCCTGGTGCGTGAATAAAGCGGACATCACTGCAGCCATTAGGGCTTTTACCCAGCCTTGACATTGACCACACATGCTCTCCAGTCTGAAGTTTAAAAAAAAACACACTTTAGCAAAACGCGTCCGCCTTAACTCTCCTACAGCTCGTGCGTTACGTGACCAGAAAGGGAAACCACAAAAGCCTCAGAAACCCCGCACAGACGCGGGATCAATCCGGCGAGTCGCCATGTGAACAATACCCCGGCCACGAGCATCCTGTCCCTCCGATGATAAAGCAGCTTGAAATAAAAGCCACGGTGGGTTTAAAACACGCAGATAAAGACAGGAGTCCTCGGAGCAGTCAAAACATACCTTTCCGTGTCCCGGAGAAGGAGCAGCAGCAGGAGGAAAAAAAACCTTCAGGCTTCCCCCGACACAAAAGCTGTCTCGCTCCCGCTTCCTCCTTCCCGTATTGTCCTTTTAGGCGAGGAAAGCTCCAGCAGGAGGACGGGAGAGAGGAGGTGTGAAATAAACTAAGTTTGAGCGCGTGCCTCTGTGGTGTGAGTCACTGGTTCTCCTGGTTGGATGGATGCTCCTCTGCTCCTTTTTGGCTGTGGCTGCCTGCGCTGCCGGCCGGACACTTTGCTCCAGTTTCTCCCCTGCTGCAGATATGTGTTAGTAGGTCAGCGGTTGCATAACAGCTCTTACGCTGCCGAGTCACGTTTTTTTCTTTTTTTCGGTTCCAGTCTCTCTCTGCAGGAGCTCTACTGGCCCCTGTCTGTTTTCCCCCATCTGCACCCCATCTCCGCCCCAACTGACGGGAGTGGCTGGTTTTATGCAAAGGCTGTGAATCCCTGGATGGTTTAGTTTTTAAAGTCATTATCATGTAGTTTATCGTTGAAGGAATCTGTATCAAAATCAACATGCGCAAAATACAAATTATTAAGAAAAATTTGTATGTGTTCATAATGATATGGAAATTTATGGAAAAGGATTAGGGCCACTGAAAAAATAAAAAAAAAGGTTAACAAATTTTTTTAAATTTCATGTCAGTATAATATGACAAAAAAGTCAGAATTCTGACCTTTTTCTCAGAATTCTGCTTTTTTTCTCAGAATTCTAACATTAGTCTCTGAATTCTGCCTTTTTTTCTCAGAATTCTGACCTTTTTCTCAGCATTCTGACTTTTTTTTCTCAGAATTTTGACTTTAATCTCAGAATTTTGACTTTTATCTCAGAATTATGACTTTTTTTCTCAGAATTATGACATTAATCTCAGAATTATGACTTTTTTCTCAAAATTCCGACTTTTTTCTCAGAATTCTGACCTTTTTTTTCAGCATTCTGACCTTTTTTTTCCAGCATTCTGACTTTTTTCTCAGAATTCTGATTTTATTCTCAGAAATCCGAATTTCTTGTCACAATTCTGACTTTTTTCTCAGAATTACGACTTTTTTTTCTCAGAATTCTGACCTTTTTTCTCAGCATTCTGACCTTTTTTTTCAGCATTCTGACTTTTTTCTCAGAATTCTGATTTTAATCTCAGAATTCCGAATTTCTTCTCACAATTCTGACTTTTTTCTCAGAATTACGACTTTTTTTCCAGAATTACGACTTTTTTTCCAGAATTGTGACTTTAATCTCAAAATTCTGACACTAATCTCAGAATTCCAACTTTCTTCTCACAATTCTGACTTTTTCCTCAGAATTCCGACTTTTTTTCTCAGAATTCTGACTTTTTTTCCTCAGAGTTCCGACTTTAATCTCAGAATTCTGACTTTAATCTCAGAATTCTGACTGAATTCTGACAGCTAGCTAACATGTTAGCATCAAGCTGTAGCCATGTCTGTTTTAAAGACTGAACTAGCTCTCTTGTTTTAATCACCTTCTGCTCTTCCACCCCTCGGGCACGTAAAAACTTGCCTAATTTCATCACTAACACCAATGTGTTAGTGGCCCTCCCTAACAACTCACTCCCTCTCCCTCTCTTCCTTCATGGTGCCCATCTACATTAAAATCCAAAATTCTGAGAAAAAAGTCAGAATTCTAAAAAAAAAAAGTAAGAATTCTGAGATTAAAGTCTGAATTCTGACGTTTTCCCCAATATTAAAAAGAAATAATATTTTTAAAAATCAGTTAACTTGTTTTTATTTTTTCAATGGCCCTAATTCTCTTCCGTAGAAATTCTATCTAATAAAAATGAAAAAGATATATATTTTGATAAAGAACTGCTTCATTTTTTATAGTCCTTATATTTACCTAAAGTATCTTAAACTTAATTGGTTAAATAATTAATTAAAGTTCTGTTAATAATGTGTTTGTGTTATGAAAGGTTTTCTTCGACCTGCTAAATCCTTTGGCTCTGCTTTCGAGCGATATATATGTTTGACTGATGTTTTGGAACAAATGTAAAAATTTGAACAGTATGTGATATCATACCCGAGAGTAAAAACAAACCTCTATATCTCATGACTATATACCACCCCATGCATGAAGCTGTTGCTGAACTGGGAAGCTCCTTCAGTGACAGACTGCTGCACCTTAAATGCAACAGGGAGCGTTATCACAGATCCTTCCTCCCAGCAGCTGGAAGACTTGATAACCACCACTATTCCCATTCCCAACAACCTCAATAAGTTGTTAATTCATGCTGATTTTTTTTTTTTTTTTTTTTTTTTGTTTGTTTGTTTTTCACAGTTTCTGTCTTAGTCAGTTAAATAACATGCTGCTGTTGTTTCACCTTTTTTTTGCACATCTCCAGTGTTGCTGCTATATTTCACATATCCATTAGGGCAAAAATGTCCAGCTGTTATTGATTTTCTTAAATTCTCCAGATACAGAGTATTAAACTGTTAAAACACTGTACAATACTCTATTTGTTTTATCTTCCTATCTGTTACTTTTATACACTTTTTTAAGGTGCAGATTGTGTGACCACTTCTACTATATCCCTTTGTTGGTGTAACACCACAATTTCCCCATTGTGGGACAATAAAGGGAGTTTTTATTCTATTCTATTCCATTCTGTTCTATTCTATTCTATTTTATTCTTTTCTATACTTGTTTCCTATGGTTCGCTTTCTGATGTTCCAAACTTGTTTTTTCATCCTGTTTTATGCCACCTGCAGCTCTTCCCACAGAGCCTTGTTGTTTCCATGCACTGTATGAAAAAGGCTTACCTTTGAAAAGCTTAGCTTTGCCCTTTGGGGTCAGTTCAGCCAAAATGGTGTATAACTGCTAAATGCAGGGGATGTTTTTATGCTTTTAATCAATGTAGGAAAGTTGATATGAAACATTTAATGTCTTCTAAAGAGCCAAGACATTGAAAGTGATGAAAGGCACAACTTTGGATCTGTTTGAAGATAATTACTCCACTAAACACATTGTTACCTTGTGTGATGTCAACGAATGCCACCTAAAAAAAAAAAACAACCAAGATATCAGGAATATTTTAGAGGTCTGGTTTATCCTTAAATCCTAATTTCTTTAAACAGTTAATGCTAAGCCAAGGCCTACTTCAAAAAGGTGACACATATCTTAGAGAGGAGAGTGCTCTGATTTTTTAAAATCAAAATAAGCTGTAAATGTCCTCAAGCGGTTGGCTAGAAATATCCCTATCTGGATTGAAACTGCTCTATTTAATTAGAAAAAAATAAGACAGATATTATGAAGAAAAAAATAATATACCAATAATGAATGACACCAAGCTGGATGGCATCAATGGCTTTTCAAAAAAAGAACGATATCAACTAATTATTGCAAATTAGTTGAAGGAAAACAAAGCAAATGTTTTGAAGGGGCCCCAGACTGATCCCCAGCCTCAGACCTACAGGAAACGTGTCCACTGAAAATTGTGATGTATTTCATACAGTTTATAAGGTAATATTACCAAACACTAAGATAATGTATGCATACCTCTAATAATTAGGAAAGCATCACACTTCTTAAGGGATCTCCCTGCCCTTGTATCCATATTTTTTTGCCTTGGGTTATGGCTATAGCAGTTTTACACCTAAAGTTTTTTTTTTTTTTTTTTTTTGCAGACTAGCTGCAAAGTCAGATCAGATGGAGAAAGTCTGTTAATTTCTTGTCTCGACACAGATTTTAATTGGTTTTAGGTCTGAAGAGGGTCATCCCTACAGATGAATTATAGCACTGACTGTATGCTGAAGGCACTGACCTGCTGGAAGTGAATGTCCATTATTATTTTAAGGCTCCGTCTTCTTATCAATTCTCCAATTTTCCAGCTCGCCTGTCCTGTCTAAAATGAATGATCACAGCATGATTCCGCCACCAATATGTTTTACCCTGGGGAATAATCTCTGTATGATGCAGTTAAGTTTCTGTTAGTTAATTTATCGACTTATTGTTATTCTTAATACATAACTGTATTCTAAAATTATTCAACCACAAACATCGGCTGAGGTGCAAAGCAATTTATATCAACATCAACATATATCAATATCAACATTTTCTATATCTGCACACTAAATCCAGGTTTTATACAATGGAAAAAATTGTTTGCTTCACTGTTTTCTTACATTCTGTTTTGGTTTGCTTGCTCTGAAGTTCTAAATCAAGACAATTTATCATCAAAGACAGCATCATTTTACTTTTCTCATATTTACTGTTTTTTTTTTTTTTAAGAAAGCAAAGCGTAAATGTTCTGTTTCCTTGCAACCACAGTTGCTTCATATCAAAAGCAGATATGTAGGTTTTTTTTTTTTTGTATATTTGTTACTCCAATGAAATCAGAGTTTTCTATTGGAGCTTTTCCAATATCCCGTTGTTCTCAGTATTCCATAGTCCCTGTGGTCTTACACCAGTGGTGCTTGTAGAGCCATCCCTTCCCCCATCTCTGTCTGCAACCACACACGTGCACTAGCTCACCACATACACATATCATTACCACCATTACCGTGTTGGGGAAACAGCAGCCTTGAACTTGTCTGGCTCCTCCTTCCTCCCAGTCAGTTCTCTGTCAGAGGCACCAACCCCCATCACCCTCCACCATTTCTCCAGCTGCAGCTCCAGCTGTGGTGTGGCAGAGCCTGCTAAGCAACCACAAAGCTTTCACTGCCTCTCCTACATATTTAGAGGGGGGGTTATCAGACTAGATCACAGACAAAGGGTCTGGTGTCTGTTTGGCTGTTTTGGTGAGAAGAGACATTTATTTACTGTACATTTAACCTACGTAGCCTAACACTGAATCATATTTGCCCACATCATTAAGAGTTCAAGTGTGCTAAATCACAATTAGAAAGCCTTTCCTTCAATATCCAGATTTACTCTTTCTGCCAGTGCAGCATGTGGTTGTGTAGTAAACACAAAAGAAACTGCTGTGAATGAATGAATGAATGAAATTCATGCACATGTAGGCCCTTAGCGCCCTCTAGTGTGGCAATAAAAAGCAAATGCTGAATGAATACAAATAGGCAAAGATGACATTTAACTTCAACATATTTCTAGGGTTAATAATCTAGTAATGTATGTCTTTTTCTTACTGCAGCTGTCTGGTTGTTTGCGATCCAAGGTCATATCCTTGTTCTGAATGGGATGATATGTGATAATCATGGCTGCGTTACTTCCACATGGGACAATCTGTTTTCAGCTCAGCCTCAGAAGGCTAAAAATAGCCTCTTTTTTACTGTTTTCCATCTGACGTGATCGATGACTCATTCAGGATCTCACTATCCCCCTCCCATCCCCGTCCCCTCTGAGTGGATCACCTTTACTGAAAGAGGCTGGGTTGAAACCATGTCCACAGTTTTATTAAAGAAATAATTAACATCAGATT